TCCATTGACTTCGTATTTTTTCTTATTTCATTGGTTAATTTATTTTTAAATAGTAATATCACTACAAAAACACATTGGGAATAATTCACAAGCTTTGTTAATTTTTTTTCTTTACAAATTCATTTCGGCCACTAGACTATTTTCTAAGATACAGAAATGTGTGTACGAATGCCGACTTTTTTATCAACCTCTATAAATAAATGTCAAGTGAATATAAATAAATTATTAATAGTTATGTATACTTGTGGTTACTTTTCGATAAAATCATTTTAAAGATTGAGGAATTTGTCATACACGTGGACTAGCTTTCTAATACCCTCTTAATAAAATGTTGCTGTTAATGAATTTAAATTAGTTTCATCGTTCTGAAGTTCCCCGTTAGTTTGAAAGCGGGAAAAATAAGGAAAAGATGTATGCTAATTTTTATAATTGTTCATTGGGTTGCACCAGCATTGTGATTACGTACGTTATCATGAATCAGAACAATTCTAGAAGTTAGAATGCCTTTCTTTGTTATGAATGACTTCCTACCAAGCTCCGGATGATTTCTCGCTTGCAAACCAACAAGGTGCTTCAACAATATCAAGACCCGTTTAAATTCATTGGTGACAACATTGGCTGTTGGAAAGTTTGTCCAAAATGTCTCAATCGTCAACGTGATTATGTTCACTTGATTTATTTATGGCCCATCGGAGATTGAAAAAAAAAAGCGGCCCTCGTACTGCTTATCACTATATTTTCGATTTCATTTTATTTTATGTTTTTTTGTTTTATAATTAACGCAAGACCACGAAACATTGTCATTTCTTACATCCAACGTGATTCGAGAGTTTTAATGACGACATTGGCCACGAAAGATCTCACATGTTTTAAGAATGTTTAAATAAAACGTCTGCCATTTTTGTTCATTATAACAAATGCGATGTAATCGTTATTTGTTCTTGTACGTTTTTTATTAAAATATTTATTGATAAACTTTTTAACTTTGTCACAGTGCAAATAGGATTACAAAAGGGATATTAATTTAATTAAAGATACATACTAAAGCTATAAAATATATTGAAAATCAAAGTAAATGTCCAAAACTAGTGTATACATGGAAATGCTTGATGCTAACGAAATGAAGTTACATCGTAATGTCTTTGTAACGAAACTCTTCATTACTGAAAAGTTCTTACAACGTAACGTTATTTGAGCTTGGTTGATTTGCTTTATAGCCCATGTACGGATTATTATAATCAAACGGTAATTTTCTGTAAGAAAACAATAAGTTGCAGTGAATATGAGCGATAAAGTAGAACCTTTGTATGTAGATGAGAAGATTTGCTTCAATACCTTAAAATACAGCTACAAAATGGAAGTAAAACGTGACATTAGGAGACAGAGTTATTCTTCCGCACAAACAGAGCTTACAGTGCTCTGCACTGTTTGGGACATTGTTCAGAGTTGTGAGCTCTGCCCCAACAAATTCTAACGTAATACAGACGATCAACGTGCTAGTATTCATAGCACCTATCAGTATAAAGGCGCAAGAATAAAAAACAAATGCATTCGTTCCATTTATTGTAAATGCGTTGTTTATAGTGGTTTTTTTCACGGCAGTAAAAGAAAAATGACTACGACAACACTTACTTCGTTAGTTTTTTGTTGTTTTTTCCCACTGTAACCTTATGATCCTAGGCAATCCACACAGTCGCCGGTTCAGAAAAAGAAGCTGCTTATTAGAATTTTAATGTCTGTATACCGGAAGTTGCAAAGGAAAAATTGATCGCCTACGTTGCTTGGGGATTGTTAGGGCAAGACCCTCAACTGCGATAAAAGTAC